TATTTATAGTTTTGTATATTCATGTATTTATAGATGCAGTTGGATTTTTCAGTGTTTTCTCTGAATGGCGGCTGTGGGGCGGGTCTTCATCCTCAGCAGCTCTGGGATTGGTCGACTGCTGCCCTGGTAAAAGTCCAGTCCGGTGATCCACTCCACGTCTCTGACCCGTGATTGGTGGAACCACATGTGATCTTCCACCCAAAGAGACTCGTCCTCTGCGCTCTGTGGACCGAGGAACGTTCATTTAATGATATAAAAAAGACGATAACAGGAATTAGGAGGACGTTTAGTGTCTAGTGTTGTTTTTCTTTTCTTCACAACATGTCGACAGAGTTTAAAAAGTTCTGAAATCGATTGATTAGTTCGTGAATCTGATTCTTTTCCGGAGTTTTATTTTCGTGTGTGTGTGAAGCCATTTTGTGGTTTCTTACTTTGCAGCTCTCCGAGTTGTTGGGGCTGTGCGGCAGCAGGAAGGAGGCGGTCTGCAGCGTCCCGTTGCAGCTGCTCACCGGCTGGGCCGAGTCTCCGCAGCTCGTCAGCACAGCAAAGTAGTGAGTGGGTATGGAGATGTTGGTGCCAGACACAAACCTTCAATCAAACACATAGAAACAACACTTTATTCACAAAGATCATCTTCTCCTGACGCTCACGGGTTGGAAACATCATCAACTCCTCCTGTTTTTGCAGATGTTTTCCTAGAGGCCGCAGGAGATGATCCAATAACGTCCAGAGACACTGACGCAGACATTTGCTTCCTGAGGAACACGTCAGGAAGCAAATCCCTGTAACTGATTAAAATGTAAGGCTACACAGAGTCCTGTGATGAGCTGGGACTCACTGCTCGATCTGCTCCGCAGAGTCGTACTGGCCGTCATAGTTGTAATCGAACACGGGGCCGGTCGCCACGTTGATGCCGTTGTACACGAAGGCGTATTTCATTAACAAGCTGCTGTGGAAGTAGTTCCAGATCTCTGTCGGAGGAGGAGGAGGAGGAGTGAGTGTTTGATTTTTTCCTGAGTTGTGCAGCGCAGATGTGTAACTTACTCTTAAACTCCGGGTACATGGGCACCACATTACTCATCAGTAGAGAATCGAACTGTTGCTCCACTGTCGTGTTCAGATCTGTGAACACACAGTACGGGGATAACCTTTTTTAATCTGTGGATGTTAATATGAAGGGAGATCACTTATGATATGTACATGTGAACTATAATGACTGACAGAGGTGGATTTTATCACTGCGTGTTTGTTCATTAACACAATTTTACACAACTGATCCGAAGAAGAATCCATTCATCAGACCCAGAATTCACTCAATCAATCGACAGCAAGTTAGAGAGCGCTAATGGTTTTATTAGGAACTATGAAGTGATTCTGTGAAAGAGAGAGAGAGAGACACAGACAGAGAGAGAGAGAGACA